CAGGCGATACACACAGAAAAAAAAAATAAAGGAAAAAGGCTGAGGTAGAGTCACAGTGGATGACTCTGCTTAGTGCTTAACTGCAGGAGGAGGCGAGGGAACCACGGGGCCCCCTTGCCTAAGAAAATTTTCGCCTTTTAACCCTTGCTTAACTCTGCTCAAGTGATCATAAAGATGGACTAAAGGAGGCATGTGGTTCTCTCGCCTCCTCCTGCAGTTAAGCACTAAGCAGAGTCATCCACTGTGACTCTACCTCAGCCTTTTTCCTTTATTTTTTTTTTCTGTGTGTATCGCCTGCCACCCACTACTGCTTATGACTATCATTAAGTGTTGTACCTTATGATTCTTGACGAATGTATCTTTTCATGTCTTTTTATATACACTGAGAGCATATGCACCAAAGACAAATTCCTCGTGTGTCCAATCACACTTGGCCACTAAAGAATTCTATTCTATCTATTCTATTATTTTGCTTTATTTTGTTTTGGTAGAATGTGATAAAATTATGAAATATATATTTTTCCATATATCATAATTCTAAACATTGTAAATAATAGTATATTACATTAAGTCTACACAATGCCAGTAGCTCCCAAAGGATCCACCAAAACATAATAGCTTTCATTTAAATAAAAACAACTTCAGATTCTTGTATGCTTAAAGAAGTCAAACAAGAAAGAACCTGCTATGAATTCCAGACTTTGCTTTTTAGTTCATTAAATTTGTGGGTTAAATTTTCATTTGTTACTTTCTCGTACATTATCAATTTAAGATGGCAGGGGATTATTGGAGTGGAAGATTCTAGAAAATAATAAGAGGAACAGTACAAAATAAAAACACATGTTCAGCACCTTGTTTTTCTACTATCATATTCTTTACCTTTGAATAATTAAATGAAAAGCTTTCCAGTATGTCCTTTTATATTTAATTCAAGGAACTGTCATCATTTAGATATTGTAGCTTTTAAAGCAATTCTTAAAAAAAGAGAAATAGTCATCACTCCCGTTTACTGACTAGAAAGGTTTTTACCAGTATAATCAGAGGTGGTATTCTGCTGTTCACCCTGGTTTGGGTGAACTGGTAGCAGCAGAGACAGGAGACTCAGCCCACCCACCCAGATATCATCATGGACACTCTGTGCATGCACAGAAGATTCTGTCATGTGCAGAAGTGCCATGTGTGAGTGAAGCAAGCGTGCGCATGTGCGCGCTCCCGATTCCAAACCGGTAGCAAAGATTAGAGGATTTCATCCCTGAATATAGTTCGTCTATGTATATCTCAGACCTGGCTTCACTACACTTCTTTTTAAACTCTATTTTTGTAATTATTTTCTGGAAGCAACATAGCTCCTCAACCCCCACAAAAAAGCCTTTTGCTTTTTGCATCTTCTAAAATAGGTGACTCTAATGATTCTGATTTTCTTTCTTTCTTTCTTTCTGCAGTGGTCTGATTTCTAATGATTGTCAACATTCATCAGTATTCTTGTGTTAATCTCCCCACTTGGCTATCTGTGAACAGACAAGTGATTTCCCATGCATGAGACACTTATAGCCTGATAAGTCTATCTAAATTTAGTTTACCATGGAAAACCATGGTTCTTCCAAATATCCTAACCTTTTCCTGTTTTTCAAGCTGCAGTGTAATTTATCTATTTATATGACAAAAAAAAAGATAACAAAGAATATCTTTGTGAAGATTTATCATCACCTCAGAATAAATGCCCAAGTTTCTGGTATGGGATGACATAAAATTATTAATGAAGACAGGAGAACATGCTTAGAGCTGGTTGTAATGATAGCATGAGAAATGGTCTTTGATGCCTCAAATTCATATGTGACTAGAGTTAGCTACAACAGACAAGATCATGAAAACATACGCACACACAAACACACAGACATTTATATTTATATAATGTTCTTGAACTAGAGTCACTAGAATCACATTAGCTAAGAAATTATCCTTGCATTGTGGTTTTTATTAGAAAGAGAGATTGATCTAGTGATTAAAGTACCAAGCTAAAAACTAGGAGACTGTGGTTTCTAGTTCAACTTTTAGAATCAGAGTTCATTGTATATATACTGTATATTTTAGACAGAATAACCTCTATAATGTTTACATACTGAATAGTTTCAAATTGGCAGGCTTAGATTTCATATATTATGGCATTGATTGACCACCATTTCATGGAACTGTGATTATCACACATGATCTATACTTCATATTTCAAAATTATGAACAGCCACATCTGGAAGTAGACTTATATATGCTTTTTAAGTTATAATTCTGAGCAGTGCAACTGAATGTGTTCTATTCCACCACAATAGCAAAAAGCACACTGCAAAAACCAATTACTATAATAGCATTCTGAAGTGTGAGCCAGCATAATGAAGCATGGATTTTCCATATTATAATGAGAATCCATTGTCACATTAGGTACATAGAATTGATGTCAGACACTATGGACTGAATAAAACGGCATATAGATGCACATCAACAATGTTGAATTAGCATGGAATGCACATCAAATTGGTAGAACAGATGTGACTAGTTACTATCATTTTCTCTATTCGTTCTTTGTCTCAGCATGTCTCTGTATAATGTGACATTTTAACAGAGCAATGGCAGACTAATTAAGAACTTTCTATTTTACTATCTTAAAATGAAAACAACTGATTGACAAGAGAATAAGATAATTTTCTCAATATGGAAGAATTTTTTTGAATGTTTCCAAAATCTATTCTGGAAAATAATTTTATTAATTTATATATTTCTCATTATTTGGATTTCCACATCATAGACAGCCTTATTTTTTAAAATCATGGTTTCCTGAATAAGCTACAATGACTGTTCATACATCATATTAAGCCATAATCATACACATTACAAAGATGGATTTGAATCAAGAACAAACCATATCTTGATTTAGTGACCTGAATTAAGACACAATAGATACTGACTATGAAAGTAATTATTGAATTAGCCTTGCTTCAAGATTCTGATTAATATTATTTAATTTAGCTGAGTTTGCTGATAAAGCTTTGGTTTATTTCTTATAATGTTTTATATTTTATAAAGTATTGGTGAATTAATCTTGTAAGAATAGTTTTGATTTGTGAAAATTAAAACTGTTAACAAAGGAAATTCTATGATGGCTAATAAGGGATAAAATAATATTGACAGAGAAGACTGCTTTTCAATTATATTTAATATATCCTCAGGCATATAGGTTTCTTTTACTGCTTTTTTACAGCTTTCTTTTACTGCTAAGAAATAACATTATGGGAATGCTTATGATTTTTTTTCTACTCAACTTTAGAATATTCCTTAATTGTCTATTGATTGTTTTTTTTCTTATTCCTCTTTCCTGTCCACTTGCTTTTTAATCTTTACTCTCCTGCCTTTCTGCTATTTATTTCCAATCAAATTTTGTATAAATTTCACTGGCAGACAGTTTTAAGTTGTTAGATGTATTTAAATATCTTTAGATATGTTAATTTGTTTTTTGGTCAGAGAACAAAATTCTTCTCATTGGGAAGAAGAAAGTAAATAGACGTGGGGTGCGCTTATACAAATATGAAAAAAGGTAAAAGTATAATAGATATGAATGAAGATGGGGTAGAGTGGAATATAATTGACAAATATATACATGAGAATGAAGGTACCAGCTAAAATGTAAATTAAATAATTAAAATGTATATCTGAAGGTATTACTTGAAGGTATTATAAGTAGGGGAGTTGTACATTATTGTCCAGGAATTATAATAATGAAAGAACCAGAGATGAATTTTGGAAAACACTGTGCAATTCTGAATAAATGCAGTCTGGTGGAAAATATTATAATAACCAAAGTCTAGGAAGGCCAATACAGCTTTAAGATACACAGGAAATAACTGCCC